CTCCCTAGCATGGAAATAAATCGTTTACGCGTGCCAGTGGCCCATTCTTCTCACACGAAAAAAAAAAGAAAAAAGAAAAAAGAAAAAAAAGAAAACGCTCTCCAAAGAGGAACCAAGTCCCGATAGTTCTCACATTCATACCCCGATGAACCAACCTGTTTCTAGGATTATGCTGAGTAGCCCCACTCCAAACCCTTTCCGTCTACTTACTTATATATAGTTAGTGAGATCCGTGAGAGAAACTTCGCTCATAACGCAAAGCTATATAGAGCCGTAAAACGGAGCGGCAGAAAAAAAAAAAAAAAAAAAAGGTTACAAAGGGCGTTCGAAATGGTCGCGTCAATCGTTGAAGCCAGCTGGGGCCAGGTACCCAATCAAATGGCGAGTTAAGAAAATCCTTATGAAGGCAAAGGGAAAGACAGGCACAGGGCCTGAAAGAAAACAAGGAGAGAGTGAGAGATGGGCAAAGGCCGTCCATGAACGCATAGTATAAACCTTTTTCATAAGCGTAAACATATCATTATATCATTATTAGTTACATGCATTCCGAATAACTTTTTTCCCCCCCTCGCCAGTATATAAAAAATCCTTTTGAGAAAATACGGTCACAGATTTTGTCTATCAAAGTTTCCACCCCATGGAACCCATGCCCCGTGGGTCTCCTAGAGGCGAGGGACGAACAACGCCGTCTTCATCCACAGGAATCGGATCCGCTTTGGATCCGTCCTGCCGAAAGGCATAGTCTGCCTGGAGTTTTGCAACGTTGCGGGCATAGAGCTTGAATGGCGTATTTGGAAATCTATACCACGGCTTTGGATCATCTGTATTATTAACTTCGCCGGGTTGCTTCGCTTTATTGTATAAATTCCAGAAAGGGTCTCGAACAGAGTCAGGTGGCGAACGGAAAAAGCGCCAGTACGGCCGTCGAGAACGTGGTGGAGGTGAAATATGCCTCTCCTGGCTTCTAAGAGAGACATGGCTGTGTTCATTCGGTGGGTCACTCCTACCTTCATGATCACTTTCTTGTTCGCTCCAGTTTGAAGGGGAGCTATCGAGGATAACGCTATCATCATCAAAGTCAAGCTCGAGAGACATGCTGCGGGCCTGCTTCGTAACTGTTGAAGGCACAAGAGATCGATGTGGCCCTTCAACTGACTCAGCAATTTCATCCAATATGAGCTTGTCTTCAATATCCTCATCGCTAGAGACCCTCTCTTTCTCGAAACCTGAAAGAGCAAAGGAAGTATCCGGATCACCAAGTTCAACGCTGGCAGTGTCATGAGCGCCAAGCTCATCACTTGATCCAGAAATATCATCAACATGGTATACCTCGGGGCTGCTCAGTAATTCTCCATGATTGGACTCAGGAATGCTCAGTTCCTGGCCATCGTCTAGTTCTTCGTCTGATGGCAGTACATGAACCACTGGAGTTTCTCGGGCTGAAGGCTCCTGTTCATTACCTAGTAGATTGACGCAAGATGACCCTCTGCTATCATTTCGCGTAAGAGAAGCCTCTGCGACATGATGCTCGTTTTCCCTGTCAGCAAAGACAAGCTCCAAGTCGCGAGCAGTGAGATTGCGCTTTCGACATCGTGGTTTTGTGACTTCCTTTTGGAAGTAAGTCTCGTAAGAAATAGTATGGGAGGAATCCTCCTCGTAGCGATGCCGTAGGGTATATGCCGGATATTGCACAACAAAATCATCCCACAGGAATGATCGCTTCATGAAATCTTGTTCCCGCAGGCGCTGTAGCTTATCGCATGCCTGCTTAAAATTATCAATGCTACCGGCATAGTCAGGATAGGCTCGCTTGAACTGATTATACACGCCTTCTGTCTTTGATGGCAATATATTGTTTCCGAAACGGGATCGACCGCGTTCAGATCCAGGTTGTCGACATTCCATAGGCCTTACCACGAACGAACGTGCGCTGAGACGAGAGGTTTGCGACTGAAAAATCTTTGGCTGTTTAGCTAAATTGCGATCCTTAATAGAGGGTACCTCATTTCGTTTCCGCTTTCCGATAATCGACGGGGTGGAATTCATTTCTATTTGAGATCCGCCTACGTTAACCGAATTACTAGCGGGTTTATTCGTGTTCATCATGGTTCCTAGAGCTCGGGCAGTAACGGATACATCCAAATACTCCTCATTAGTATTTTGCGCACATTCATCCAAGCTAGACACTAGTTGTCCCCCTACTATAGAATCGTCGTCCCCATCCGTCGAGCCACAATCCAATGGGCTAAATCTTTCTAGAGATGCCAGACCGGGGTTTTGTGTAGCAGTCTGCGTGGCTTTTCCGCTTACAGACGTAGAAGGCCCCGGCTGAACTGTTAAACGCCGGGTATCGTACGTTGAAGGAATGAGAGGGTCCGAAGAAACCTTGGTAAATCTTTGCCCAGAGTCTCCGTCAATGCTCTTCTGGCTACGAGTGGCTGATGCCATTTTCCGTTTACCAACTTGGATATACGGAGTCTGTTCGACTTCGGTGAATGAAACTTTATTGGCAGATGGCAGTGAAGCTACAGAGCTTGTGAAGTTGTCGTTCTCAGGGTCCTGATCGGCTTGGCTCACGTTTCCCAAGCCAGTGGGAGGTGATATTTCCATCTCGGAATGGACATCTTCATCTTCAATGGGCGTAGCAGTACTGAGATCGGCTGGCTTTTGCGAATTAGTACCAATGTCAGGTCCATATCCCAGGTCATCCTCGTTTCCACTAGCTACAATATCCCTCTGGTTAGCCTTCACAGGGAAAGGGGGGCGTAGGCGGGAATTATTTATAGCTGGAGGGCTACTATCTTGCGGAACAAGATGAGAAGAGGATGACGGCTGTGGCGTGGGAGTCCACTCTGAGTCCAGCGGTTCGCCTTCTGGCGAAGACTTCAGTAGATCAGCGTCGAGATCCTCATCCTCGTTTGCAGAATGAGGGTTCGCGCATGTGCTAGTTGTCTCGTTTGATGACCTGCGACGAAGCATATCATTCCATTTCTGCAAAAGGTGTATCGGGACATGGGCTTGTGGCGCTTGCTTCCCAGGTTCTGGAGGAAACCAGGATTCATTCATCTCGATCAACTCTTCTTGGTCCTTTCGAATTGTAACATCCCGACGTCGAATCCGGACCATCTGGCTCCAGGGGTCGTCTTTGCCGGGTTGTGTGTTCGTCTTGGGGCTATTGTTAGGCATCAGTTTATTCTTAGTCGTTGGTTTAGCCATTTCCGGAGATATCTGAGGATCTAGGTGGTCTCTTGGCTTGTCGCCACTTCTTTTACTTGCCGCACTATCCCTTTGACGGTTCTGGTTGAGGGATGGGGATCTTTTACCGGAGATGTGCGTACGGGGTGTCCTTGCAAGTGGGCTCCCAGATGGGGGTAACGATTCGGCATCTCCACTACAATTGCGGTTGATTTCCTCGTCCAAAGGGATCGCGTTTTCAATAGATGGGATGAGTTGAGTCACGAAACCAATATGCTCTATATCCACGTCTAATCGACTAGAGGGTGGCTTGTGCCTTTCCGCCGTTTTATCAAGATTTTCCTTAATAGCTGGATCTGGCTCCAGCCCCGATTTCGAGGTGAGGGCGGAAAGTAACAACGTAGCGTTCTTCTTAGGCAATGCAGAGTCATTTCTAGGCTGTGCGAGTGGTTTTTCCGACCGCCGACTGTTTGGAAGCTGTGAGATAAAATTGTCTTGTGAGGCTGGAGGTGCGATGGAGGCACAGGCGTGGGACCTCAGAGATGACGCATCCGACTCTGAATCCGTATCTGTGGGCACATTCGCTTCCCGCCCTTCACCATTTGGGAGACCACCGCCATTTCGTTGGCCATTTTCCTTTCTCGAACACTTCCTGGCCATGCTGGATATACTGGAATGACCAGTGATATCGACTGGACGGCCAAAAATACTACTACCTTCGCATCCCTCAACGCGGAAGTCCAGAACAGATAGAGTAATCTCAGGTGGAGCCTTAACATGGCTAATAACAATATCGAATTCATTGATCTTTATTATCGCGCCCTTGGTATTTCTGTTAAGAGGTTTCCTGGTTTTCCTCCTATAGCTCTCCGTAGACTCTCTAGAAAAAGTGCTCGAGATGGCGGTGACAGAGTCGGATAGAATACCCCGGACGGGTCCTGTAGCGGGAGACCACTATGGATGGTCCGTTATGTCAGCGTAGATTCGTAACCCGTCTATCTAAGTTCCGAACGCGTACTTCAGCAACCTGCACGAATTTCCGATCTCTCACGCGAACTCGATGGATGCTATCATCATCGACCAACTTCAGTGGGTTACGTAGAGCCACATCTTCCGGCAGTGGCTGTCCCAAGCATAAGCACAACGCAGCTTCGACAAGAGGCGCAATCCAGGGTCTCAGGGTCTCCATGCTGGAGCTGAACAGAATCGTAGGACATAACTAATCCTCGATTGTTGCCAATTCATAGTTTGTAAAATGGTTAAAAAAAAATTCTCAACACATCCAAATAAAACACCCGATTGACAGAGTTCACAGTTGGCTCTTCGCTGCGAGAGTTTCTTCGGATCAATGCTTTCTAAATCGGGCTAAATCAACCCCCATTGTAACCACGCGTTCCTCACCGCTTTGGCAGAATCGAGTTAGTCATCTGCACAGGCTGACTCAGCTCCAACGGCGCTCTCCCATTGGCTGCTTCGGTTGTGGTCGGTCGTGAGCTCGGATTGTGACGTCTTCTTGTTGATCATCGACGTTGAGTTGGCATCCAGGCGGCAGCAAGTATGATCCCAGAGATGACCACGACCGTCGATTCTCTCCACCTCGATTTAGCTGTTTCTGCGTGTCTTGCATGCGTCCGTTATCTGCGCACTATACTCGGAATAGTCACGTCTCCTTTACTAAGATAGACGACCAAACGATGGAATAAGCTTTGGGCCATTGCAACTATCCACCATGTACGAGGAGGGGCTTTTGTTTGATCAGACCAGGACGTCTTTTGCTTTTTAGTTTGGATACAAGCGTGTTTAGTATGGACATGGCTTCTCAAAAATCACAGGGGAACTCCAGCCCCTCCGCGTCCTCCATATTTCTTCCACTTGGTCGACCATCGCGACGGGGCTCCCTTGCATCGATGAGCTCGCAGGCGGAACGGGAACATCGAAATGAAGCTTTAAACCAGATACACAATGCCGCTTGCCAATCAGACGAGCTCACAGTCTTCTATGAACTTACCAGCCCGCCTACTACCTCCTCAGCAACGGACAACAAGGGCATAGTGGGAGATTTGCAAGGCGGCCTTAGCGGTCTTTATAATCGGTTTCGAGCTTCCGTGGGCGGTGTTAAAGATATGGTTGGCGGCTCTTCAAGACAATCTGACATAACACCAGCAGAGACACCAGCAGTTAGGAGCCCTACCTCGTCTTCGTTTCCCTCAAACATATCGGGACAAGCAACTACAGGATCTGCCGAAGTGCAACCATCTCTTGCGAACTCATCCAAATCCCAGTCTCCGGTTCTAGGCACCTTCCCTCCAATACAAGAAGGGTCGACAACTCACTCTACAGGGAAGTCGTCACGATTGTCCTCCAAGCCTGCCAGTGTATCGTCAAAAGCATCAGGACCGATTGGTGGATCGTTGAAATCCCCGATTGCCCCTCTAACCATGGCCAGTTCAGGGGTGGCTGATCCAACAGTGACTGAAATAAACGTGAACGCCATGAAGGATATTCCGTTTCACAGTAGAAGCGGCTCTGGGAGCATCGCGTCCAGTATAATGCAGAATGTCGAATCTTCAAGTTCAGAGAGACGGGATAGTTCGATTCACACTACCGCTACCCAGTCGCAGTCGCAGCAGGAGTCAGCACCGAGTCGACAGTCATATTCACCTGTTTTAATAGCACGGCACAACAACAATGAATCTTTTCGAGAAAGTCGCTTGCCAGAAAGCGTTAACATTGAACGCGCAGCGTCTCCAAAGTTACGTTCTGCAACTGGGGATCGACATGGTCTAGCTGAACTCGATACATCTTTCTCAAGATCTGCTTGGAGAGCATCGATCGATGGAACGCACGATATGCAACCCTCTCGTAGGGACAGCCAACCTGGAAACTCTAATAAGTCGATCTCGAACGATCACTCCCCAGCTCCAACTAACGTCACGAACAGCGTTTCAAAACTCTCGACCACAGATAGTTCCACCCACGAAGGCAGAACACCTACGACACTAGCAACGTCGCTCACCATGACCGACAAAGAACCATCATCCGCGCACTCATCTAAGGCCTCATTCAAGGATCGCCAGGCGAAGGCCACCTCCAAAATCAGTCAATCGCGCCTACTTGGTTTTGGACCCTCAAGGATGTCGTCCTCAGAGTCAAATGGCCATCAGTCCACATCGACCCCTGTGCATATTTCGTTCCGCGCTGATCATGACGGCCTTGATGCCCGAGCAAGAAAATTCCCTCCTCCCCAAACTCGGCAGGAGGCACCGCCTTTCCGGAGCAAGCTTCTCAGCAAGGAATTCTGGATGCGTGATGAAAATGCTAAGGATTGCTTCCATTGTGGTGAACCTTTTTCCACATTCAGAAGGAAACACCACTGCCGCACTTGCGGCCAGATTTTCGATGCGAAATGTACCTCTCTAATACCAGGCGCTGATTTCGGAAATTCCGGCTCGATACGGGTTTGCAGACCTTGTGAGAGTAAAATTATCGCTTACCAGGATGATTCATCAGATCTATCTGGAGATGACATGAGCCCTATTGTTATAAATCCCCGGAGCCCCCATGCTATTTCCAATGGGAATATATCCCGCCTGAGCGTGGCCGACGACGATGCTTCGTCTGTCGTGTCTCAATCGGTTGATCATGTGCTAAAGACTCCCACCATGGCCATACCTGCAACTCGACGTACCGGTGACGGGAATAATCGACGTTCCGCCATCCTTGAATTTGATTCCGATCGCCAACTTGCGAGGCCGTCTTCGTCGCGATCGCTGAAATCGTCGATGAATGGAAGGCCACATTCCATTAGCCATAAACGTCATCATTCTCGGCATCAATATATTCGCAGCTTCAAATCCTACCACGAGGATAGAGCCCCATTCCAGCGTCGCGCTGCAGATGATATGAGCCGCGAATCCAGGCTTCCAGCCTTCCACCGGGATAACATTATTGATCCAGATCTTGCCCAGTACCTGTCAGATGATGCTTCAAGTGGTGATGAACAATCGAACTTATTCGCGGTTGTCTCAGATGGCGGTCTCTCTAAAAGTGGTGGCGAAAGTGAGAAAGCGTCTTTCGGTGGCCTTCTTGCAGCCGTCAGAAAGAGTCGTTCTCGTTTGGGTGAGCGGTCCGGAATATCAGCATTGTACCCGTCCCGCGATGGCGACGATACGAGCGTCAGTAGCTCGAGAGCAGTGAATCTGCCGCGTTCTGGGCGCCGGCGTAATTTGAGTGTTGCGAGCAGCATCCACCAGGCCCTATCCCCGCGCACTTCGAAAGATAACCAGCCCATGTACTTCCACCATGATCAACCCGCACCAACCCTATCTATGCAGGGATCGCCGGCCTCCGCCGGATTCAAGATGACCAGAAGCTCCTCAATGAGAGGGCTGGCGCACCTGCAGTTGAACTCAATCGAGCCAGTATGGACCACGTTCGCAAACTCCTTCGGCAACTTCTGAAAGATGATCATATTCCTCATTCCAATTCTTGGGAAACTGCTCTATTACCGATCCTTCTCAAAGCCACGGATGATGTAGAGCCTAACGTTCAACAAGGTGATGCGATGGATATACGTCACTACGTGAAGCTGAAAAAGATACCTGGGGGCCGACCTGGGGATACATCCTACGTGTCTGGCCTGGTTTTTACGAAAAACCTAGCTCTGAAAAGTATGCCGCGCAGTATTTCCAGACCAAATATCCTTATCATTACATTTCCACTGGAATATGCACGCCAGCAGCAGCATTTCATGAGTCTAGAGCCTGTCATTCGTCAAGAACGTGAATTCCTCGAGAATTTGGTCAATAGAATATCGTCCCTCAAACCTAATCTTCTTCTTGTCGAAAAGAATGTTTCTGGGTTAGCGCTTCAGTTATTGGAAAAAGCAAATATCGCCACTGCTTACAATGTTAAGCCTTCGGTAATTGAGGCAGTATCTAGGTGTACCCAAACTAGGATTATTACATCTATGGATAGGCTAGCCACCAATCCATCGTACCCCGGCAAATGCGGTAGCTTCGATGTCAAAACGTATGTCCATAAAAACCGCAAGAAGACTTACATGTATATATCTGGCTGCCCGAAGGAATTGGGATGCACAATTGTCCTACGTGGTGCTGAAAATGACCTCCTCATGAAGATTAAACGGATTACGGAATTCATGGTCTATGTTGTATACAATTTGAAGTTGGAGACCTGTCTTATGAGGGACGAGTTTGCGAAAATACCTTCCTCGCCTCCGGATACAACATCAACGGCCAAAACAAGTGCCGCCTCTAGCATGACAGATGGGACCGGACAACGCAGCGATTCGAGAACTACAACACACAATTACAACACTCCAACCAGCTCCCAGTCAGCCATCACTGACGGAGCAAAACCGGCGGAAGAACCTGTAGCATCCCAAGGCTCGATTTCTGTCAGTGACACCACTACGGACGCTTCTAGTGGAAAGAATAACTCCAATTCTACTACTGAGCCTGCCTTCTATGAAGATATGGTCGAGAAGCATCAAACAAAAATCCTCTCCGCATCCCCATTCGTAAAATTCATGCCTCCATACCTTCTCATGCGGGCGAGAGAACTTGAGAGACAGCTTGCATATCTCAAACGGCTCCGTGATCAGGACTTCTCAACCGAGCAGTTAAATGACGACAAAGCAAAATCTCAAAAATTTGTTCTCATCACTCCCGAGATGATCCATGAATCCCTCTCTGGTGCTCCAGCCAAAGTAAAGGAAGTGCTCCATGCCGTTCACGATGCAGAATATGACAGAGCGCTCCATAACTACCAAACACAAAAGAGGCAGTGGGAAACCTATATCTCCGGAAACGACAACTTGTTTGATCCCTACGCCCATCAAAATATTGTCGTGCTTCACAGCCTTGTTTGTACCACAACTTCTGTTCCGTGTGCCGGTCCGGACATATTTGCGCTTGGATTCTACAATGAGCACGAATCAGACAGGATATTCGAAGCGGATTTCACACTAGGTCAGTACGTCGAGGAACTTTGCCTGAGCGCCAACGATGTCTGTGACGTAAATGGCTGTGACGAACGGATGTTTAGCCATCACCGACAGTATGTACATGGTGAAGCCCAGGTTACTGTCATTGTACAGCCACATCCATCCAAACTCCGCGGATTGCAGGACGTGATTTTAATGTGGAGTTGTTGCAAGATCTGTGGCAACGAAACACCAGCTATTCCTATGTCGGAAAGCACTTGGAGATATTCTTTTGGAAAATATCTTGAATTATCATTTTGGTGTGGTAATTTACATGCACGCGCCGGTGTCTGTCCGCATGACTTGCATCGCGATCACCTTCGATATTTTGGTTTCAAAGATGTGGCTATTCGTATTCATTATGACCCTATCAACCTGCTTGAAATAATTGTCCCGCGACCCCGCGTTACGTGGAAGGTTGATAAAGATCTCAGACTCCGAAACGAGATTTACATGCAAGCTGAAAAGCGCTTGAATCGATTCATGTTATCCGTCAAGGCCAGGTTGAAAAGTATTAACGTTAACAGTGTCATACCAGAAATGGCTGAGAATTGCAGGCAAGAAATTGAAGCCCTCACAAAACGGGCGAATGACGAGCATCTAGCCCTCATTAAACAGCATCAAGAACTATACATGAATTCACGATACTGGGAAATTGTCCCACTGAATAGGGTGATTCATGGAACGCAAGAGAAGGCGGTGGAGTGGGATGCGACGTTCGCAGAATTTGAGCGGAACTTCTTCCCCTCCGAAAAAGATATTCGGCGATTGGCAACATTACAACTCAAAAGGATATTCCTCGATAAAGACGTTTCTGTCACTTCCTTCGCTTCTACTGACGAAACGGCAGCAACGACCCCTATTGAGGCAGAGGAGGCAGATGGCACAACTACTTCACCATTGGCGGAAAGCCCAAAATTAGCGAGAAGGATGACACTATCTCCTCAAGAGGCTAAGAGTGTTCTCGCTTCGGTAGTGGAAGAGCATTCAAGTAAGCGAAATAGAGATGTTGAAAGTCCGGAGCGGCTTCATTCTCCCACTCTTGCAAACATCGAGAAACAGGGACCTATGAAGCTCCCAGAGACAGCGATTCCCACAGAGGAAGATGTTCGACTGTTACACCTGCCTACCTCTCCCCATGGCGAGGAGGAAAATTCTAGTTGTCAGATTGAGCCCATCTCCCCACCTTTAGCTGAAAATAATACTGGAGGTCAACCTGCGGTTGATGAAAATGTCCGTTCGGCTTCGGAGCTGCTACCAATTGATTCAAATGAAACCCAGACCGAAACCCAGGCCAAAGCCCAAGGGGAGAGGTGCAGCGAAGATAGCGCTGAACATCCTGCCATACGCGCACCTCAAACACCTAGACCCTCTGGTATACCAAGGCCAGCGGATAGATCGACTCGAAAAGGCCCAAGCGGAAAATCTCCGCCCTTACTTAGAGCACAGTCGCAATCAGGTTATATTCATAATGAGAATAGCAATGCGTCTGGAGTGCAACTCCTGCAAAGGTCATCAACCGGCGGTTCAAGTCCTAAAAAGACCGAGAAGCAGGTAGAACAAAACAATGGCTCAAAAACGAAAGGGACTGAAAAGAGGCTTTCGGAGCGCTTAGGCTTGCCCTCTTTAAAATCTAATAAGCTCACTTCTAGTCATCACTCCCTGATACCGCGCTCAGTACAAACCAGGAGCTCGCGCGTTTCTAATCTCGCAAAACATTTTGAACAACTCAGCCGGGAATTTGAAAAAGAACGTCTGAGGGAACGGCAACAGCGAGCATTGCAAAGAAAGCATTCTCGCGCGTATCCCATGGCATCCTCAAATCCGATCGTAGAAGTTTACAAGAACGTGAGAGATGCAGTTGAGGAACGGGATCCATCAGACGAGGACTTCTTGTCAAGCCAGCCATCTGCTGCTACTTCAAAGGAATCAACCACGTTGATCAGCGACATGGCGAAACCTGCTCAGCCTGCAGAAAGTTTAGAAGAGGCCAAGGACCAACCAGAGGAGGTATCCAGAAAATCAGAAGAAAGTGTGCAAGAAGCTGGGCAAGCTCTATCAGAGGCAGAGGGCGAAGGGGCAGGAGAAGAGGAGCACAGTGATGGCGAACAAAGCCTGCTGGACGAACTACAGATTGTTGACTCCGCTGAAGAAGCAAATAAGCTGTCACCTGATGAACTTGATTTAAAGGAGTTGCCGAAATATGAACGAACCTCGCTGCTTAAAGTGTTAACGAACTTCTGGGCCGAACGCTCCGCCAGCGGTTGGGCCCCGCTCGAATACCCTCTCAGCGATTCCGACCACGTTTTCGCAGATTGTGACATCATTGTTCGAGAAGATGAACCAAGCTCCCTGATAGCCTTTGCTCTGGACTCTGAGGACTACAAGAATAAGCTTTGGAGCATCCAAGAGCATGACGAAATAATTGAAGTCAAGGCCACCGATGGACGTCGTGAGCCAGAAGTCGAGCAGTCACTGTTGCGCGAGACGGGAACACATCTCAAATACCAGTTCCAAGAAAGCCAGACAAAGATGCTTTGCAAAGTTTTCTATGCCGAGCAATTCGATGCACTTCGAAGAAAATGCGGTGTCTCAGACCGGATTGTGGGGTCACTCTCCCGTTGCATGAAATGGGATTCCAGAGGCGGAAAAACCAAGTCACTCTTCCTCAAAACCCTAGACGATCGGTTCATCCTCAAATCGCTCTCAACTATCGAGACCCAGGCCTTCCTAAAATTCGCACCGGCATACTTCCAAATCATGTCTGAGGCTCTATTTCACGAACTGCCCTCGGCCATCGCGAAGATGTTCGGCTTCTACCAAGTAATCATCAAAAACCCTGCGACTGGTGTCGAATTTAACTGGTTCCTTCTTCTCATGGAGAACCTGTTCTACGACCGGAGCCCAACAAGGATCTTCGACCTAAAGGGTTCAATGCGAAATCGCAAAGTGCAAAGCACAGGAGAGCGCAACGAAGTCCTCCTTGACGAAAACATGGTGGAGTTCATCTACGAGAGCCCCTTGTTCACTCGAGAACACTCCAAGAAACTACTAAGTCAGAGCGTATGGAATGACACGTTATTCCTCGCCCGACAGAACCGTTATGGACTACTCACTTATGATCGCGATTGACGAAAACCGCCAGGAACTCGTCGTCGGAATCATCGATTGCATCCGTACATATACTTGGGATAAGAAATTAGAGTCGTGGATTAAGGATCGCGGATTTGCTGGCGGGGGGAAGAATCGGCCAACCGTCACTAGTCCGAAAGAATACAAGAGTCGCTTCCGGGAAGCGATGGCTAGATATGTACTGCATGCCCCGAAGTAAGTATACTATCCCAGCACAATCAACCCGCGGGTGTAGACTTTATAATAGGACAGGCATAACTAACAAAGAAAACCATAAATTAGTTCTTGGCACCAATTCCACACGTACATTGATAGACGCAACCTAAGACTCAAGGATCGTGGACGGGAACGCGATCGGGAGCGAGAGACTTTCGAAGTCAGCAGGGATGAGAATGTCGAGTTAGGAGACGATTACTAGCTTGCACACTTCAATGCTCTCCTGATAAGTTTCTTCGAACCACGTACACCGTCACCTGGAGCAGCTTTCCTTTCTTTCATTGTTTTAGCGGCACAGTCATTATCATAGCGAGTTCCATCTATCATCTTACGCCCTGACCTACGAATTTGACGAATACGACGCACGAAAGGAAAGAAGAAAAAAAAGAGGTTATGTCGCTAAAAAATGAATGAATCCATGAGCTCAGCTAGCTATGTATATATAAAAAATAAAAAAATAAAATCTGAACTAATTCCAAACACCACACTTTTATCCTACCCACAAGAACAGCACAAAAAGGGGAGAAGATGGGATGGGTAAAAAAGGAAATGAAACCGGAACTACCTATAGGGTGCAAACGTCAATATCCCGTCCCACCCAACCCCAACCAATCCAGCCTTGCATGGAGCATGGGAAATACAATGCATCCTATTTCCCTCTCTATTTCCTAAAATAATTTCGGCCTCTTTACCTCACGTTTTGTTGTCTTTGGCAAACTTTCCAGTATCCAGTTCCCCATTGTGTAAATAACCCCCTTCTCCCCACTTTCTTCTTGTCTTAAGCCACACGACCATGCCATTGCCATGTCCCTTGTACACTGCTACGCAAAGAAGCATTCGGAAGTAAAACTGTGTTTTCCTTTTTTTTTTTTTTTTTTTTCATGCCATGTGCAAGTTTTACAGGCTCTCGTCAAAAAAAAAAAAAAAAAAAAAAAAAAAAAAAAAAAAAAAAAAAAAAAAAAAAAAAAAAAAAAAAAAAAAAACCCAAACCCAAAGCCAAACCCCAAAACCCAAACCCCAAACCCCCCCCTCTGGAGGAAAAAAAAAAGGGGGGGGGGGAGGAGTGCAAGATATTGGTAACTATTTTTGTATTCTTTTACCTGGCTTAATTTTTTGTATTCCAACTAGTATAAACATAACTTATTGAATAGGAATCAAGCATTGAGAGAAGGCGAAATAAAAACGATCTTCCCATATATTATCAGATAGCTGGAACACTTCTTTCATTGGGGAAGCTAGGCTTCACAAGTACTTCTCTTTCTCTTCTTTTTTTTTTTTTTAATAACCCTTAAAAAACAATAAAGACCGCAAAAGAAAAAGCGGGAACCATTAATTATCATCCCAGACTGACCAGAAACCAAATTTTTCATTAAGTACTATGTATTTTTTTTTTTTTTTTTTTTTTTTTTTTTTTTTTTTTTTGGGAGGAAGCAGCAAAGCAAGAAAGTGAAAAGAATTAACTAGAAAAACATGAAAGAAAATAAAACAAACCAAATCTAACATCACCCATCGATTGGATTATTTATCATCATGAAAGAAAAAAGACCCTGCAAAAGGGGGGGGGGCCCATCACCATCACACCATCAAACCACCTCACGCCTCCGCCAGCCCTAAATTCCTCGGATCCGCCGGCACGACACGGATGGTATTCGTATGGCCCATGCCACCGCGCCAGCCCTGCACGCACACAACCGAGTCGCCGAGCGACAGCACCTGGTGCTGGATGGCCTTTGCGATGCCGAACTTGAGGCGGTTGTCGACGTCCTCCTGCCAGTTCTTCTGGTTGAAGTCGGGTTTCTTTTCGGGAAAGATGAAGGGGTAGACGCCGCGATAGAGGTGGGAGTACTGAGAGTTTTTTTTTCGGGGTTTAGTATTTTTATTTTTTTTTTTTTTTGGGGGGGGGGGGGGGGGGGGGGGAAGGAAGGGGGAGGCGAAAGGATAAAACTTACGCGAGCGGCCATTCCGTTGCGGGTTACCATTATGATGGGGCAGATGGGGCGATATTTAGAGAGCAGGCGGGCGGAGTGGCCGCTGGGAAGGATATTGTCAGTATTTCAAATATGAAATGAAAATTTGTTGGTTTGAGGGGCGGGCCCCCGGGCGGGAGGGGTATGTGAAATGTGAAGCTCCCCTTACCTAGTCGTAAGAACCAAAATAGCCCCCGCATTCAGTTCCAAGCTAGCGGAGACGGCTGCCATGGCAATGGACTCGACGGTATCCATCGGTCGCGGCGCCAGGTTCCGCAACTCATCAAAGACATTGACATACGGAATGGCAACCTCCGCAATCAGACACGTCTCATGCATCATTGAAACCGCCTCCTTGGGATAATCGCCCTTAGCCGTCTCGCCAGACAACATGACACAGTCCGCGCCATCCAGGACCGCATTGGCGACATCCGAGACCTCCGCGCGCGTCGGGCGCGGGTTATATGTCATCGACTCGAGCATCTGCGTTGCGCAAATGACCGGCTTGCCCTTGATATTGCACTTGGCAATCATCATCTTCTGCGCAATGAAGACTTTGGAGGCGGGGATCTCGATGCCCAGATCACCGCGCGCGACCATGACGCCGTCGGTCTCGTCGAGGATCTCGTCGAAGTTGTTGACGCCCTGCTCGTTCTCGATCTTGGCGATGATCTGGATTTCGCGGCCTTCCTCGCCAAGGACGGCGCGGATGTCACGGATGTCGGAGGCGCGGCGGATGAAGGAGGCGAAGATCATGTCGACTTTGTTCTTCACACCGAAGCGGAGATCCTCCTTGTCCTTCTCGGAGAGGGCAGGGAGATCAATGTCGGTGCCGGGCAGGTTAACACCCTTTTTGGAGGAGATGACGCCGTTGTTCAGACATTTGGCGCGCAGGGAGCTGTCGTCTATGATCTCGAGGACTTGGAAGGATAGGATACCGTCGTCCACGTATATGAGCTTACCCTTCGAGATCACCTTGGTGATGTTTTTATAGTCGACGTATCTGATTATAGCGATTAGATATTTTCACTGAGAGGGGGTTCTAATCGCAGTAGCACGAGGAACAGGGAAAGGACCAACAGGTGATTGATGTCACTCTTCTCCGCATAATCGTCATGCGACGTAATAATCAACTCCGTCCCTTCAGTTATTTTGATATCTTTGCCATCGAGTGTTTTCCCGGTTCGGATCTCAGGTCCTTTCTATTATTAAGTTAAGAAGTGAAAGTAAAAGCTATCAACTCCCAAATTCGCACGAGCCGTTATGAATGTAGTTCATAGAAATAGGGATATAAGCTTACGGTATCCAAGGCGATAGCAAGAGGGCGGCCTTCCTGAACTTGTTCTGCCCTTCTAGCATTATCGATGACGGATTGATGATACTAGATAGAAGGCAAGCCAGTTAGTTACTGGAACAAATATCCAAGAACAGGTATATTATAATTATAATAAATATATTCCCTTACGTCGTAATCGCCATGGGAAAAGTTCATGCGAACAACATTAAGACCGGCTAGAATATATAAGTCAGTCGTCCTGTATTAAATACATCGAAACGCAGCGGGGTAAATCGAACCTTGGCGAAGGATATTGATCTTCTCGACGGAATTCGTTCGAGGACCTAATCCACAGGAAGGAACGCAAGGCTAGCGTGTTAGCTTGGGTCTATGATTTAATTTAAAGGGTATAAAATCAAAAATGAAATAGTAGAACGAGCTTCTGCAGCTCCATCCACCAGTGCGGGGTGTTGAGGAGAGAAACCAAAGAAGGAGTAGAGTAGAAGAAACTATGTTGATATGAGGAGGTTTGGGGTTCAGGTCAAACGCACCAATGGTACCGATGATGGAAGTACGGCGGAAGTTTGCGTAGTTGGCAATATTCTCTCCCCTCAACGGCGTGTAGTCACACTGCAGCTTGGACATCCATTCCAGCTTGCTTCTACTCGTGAGGTGATCGAGAGAGTTCGCCATTTTGGTGGTGGGTTGTTGCTGTTGACCTTGTAGCGAGGCCACGGTTGCAGAGGTGATAAAAGAACTGGTGGCGGAAAAAAGAAGATGGAGAAGAAGTAGAGCAGAGGGAGGAAAAGAAAAGAGGTGTGAGGTAACTTATCCCTCAGCCAGCAAGCTTCTGGGTTATTCTTACGTTCCCAATCCAATAATAATATTAAATAATATTAATATTAAATGGCACGTTGGTTGAATCTTGGAGGCGGCCGGAGATGTGTTGGCGTAGTTACACAATTCCCAACCAGCCAGGAAACAAAGAACAACGGCAAGCCTCGTGTGCTAGGGATGGGATGGGAGAGAGCTCACTGGGAACAATGCTGAGGTCCCGGGTTAGGGGTCTGTCTCTGTATTGTATTGTTTTCTTTTCTTTTCTTTTTCTTTTCTTTTTTTCTTCTTTTCTTTTCCTTTCTATCTCGTTCTTGGTTAGCTTGTGATAGTTCGTTTTTTGCTCGAACAAGGGCGGACAAGGGGGGTTGGTTGGTTGGTTGGTTGTTTGCAGAATAACGAATAACGCAAACTACTAATATAGGTGGATGGAAGGAAGAGAGATAGTTGATATCTCTTGTTACAAGAACTAGTTAGTAGTCATCAGCTTCTTCTTCTTCTATGTAGTTAGTTACAGGAGTAAAAAAGAGGGAAACAGAATTGGAAGAGAAGAAGATATCAGCTACAGGAAGAAACAAATCTCCCTTTTTATAAACATTGCTTTACGTCATACATATTTATTTTAACTAACTTAGTTAACTTATTTATTACTATTATTACTGATTTATTACTCCGTATTATTATTATTTTATTGTTCCAACGTATAGTATACATACACAGAGCTCAGAGTGAGTGAGCTCTTTATCAGCCAACAAAACCCACTTTCCAAGTTGCTCCGCAATCGCCGCTGCAGTCGCATTCTTCTGTTGCAACTCAACCATTCTTTCTATTTGGATGCCGTTGAACACCCCAAAATCTATCAGAAACACCCCCCTTCGTCCCAGATACCCAGATACCCCTCCCAGACACCTCAAGAATGAGTATATATATTTATATCTCTATTTCACAAATCGTTGAACACACAATTGCCTTTTGCGCGTGATCTTTGCGTAAGAGCCCTAGATCCAGACCCGGCCAAAGGAGCCCCACCACGTGCAGCGGGGAATCTGGCTGCTGATTGGCTGGATCAACTGTGGCGCTAATCTCCTGGATTTATGTTTTTCCGTAGACATCCAATCTAAACACTAGTCCTAGTCTGGACTAGCAGTAAATCGTCTCTTATATATATATGGAATGGATGGATCCGATCCGTCCAGGTCCGTCACATGACTTCCCACATGCCTCATTGGCTTTCCCAGGCAACCGAATTGCCCGAACCAACCTGCTAGCAAACATCGCAACATCAGTGGTAGGGTATATATCTTCGACAATATCAAATATCAAATCCACCTCTCCGAAGCTTCTTCCTCTTCTTCTTCACGATATCCTTGTCTGTTGTCTTCTATCAGCCGAGCAAGAAAAGCGTGGCTGTACATAACACCCCTCGATAACATACACCAAATCTATCAACCATGGTGGTTCGTCTCTGCCCTCTGCACACTCCCTCTCTGGATCCTACATGTTGAATGAATCCCATCCCTCCGTAGCATTCTTACTGACACTCTCCCTTCAGTTCGGACGCATAACCCACTACGCCTTTGATGCCGTTCTCCGTACGTATTCCCCCCCCCCCCCCCCCCGTCATTGCATTGCATCAAGCACAGACACTACACATTCTTTACCTGGCTCGATTCTGTCAAGTCAACACGAAGCCTTCCAGGCCATGCAGGGTCAGGGTTCACTCCGTCACCAAGTTATTGTTGCCCCAGGGTTGACATTAACAGAGTACGAACCATGCCTCAGGAGCTTGCTGAGGGATGTGGTAAAAGAGTGGCAAAAGATTGTCGGCGTGGGATCAGACGGCTTACCATTTGTGTGCCATGCCTATTGCAGTTCTCGGGCGCCGAAGTCCAGCAGCAGGGACAGGACGAAGAGCTGTGGGCTCGGGGGGTGGAGCTCATGAACAACTTTATTAGTGACACCGGATGTTTCAAACACTGGGATGGCAGGGTCAGCGATGCGGAATTATGAATTGTCAAAGAGACAACTGGGCTGACGGGATAACCGCGGGTTTTTGAGCCGTGAGGCTAGGAATGAGGAGGGAGCGCAAGGCGTGGCTCAAAACCCTACCATTTTGTGGAGTACGAAGATGACTGAATGGAAAGGACTATTTCAGTATTTATATTGACCGAGG